GAAAGGTGATCTCAGCAGGAATTGTAGATCTCTTATTGATGGAAGGGCGACATATTTGATAAGCTAGATCTTGGCGAAGATTGTAGCCAACAAAGATTTCTGAAAGCCCCATCTTCGCGAGGATTGTAACCAACAACTTCAATTAGGATTTTATCTTTTCATGGAGGAGAAGAAGAAAAATGAGAGAGACTAGAATTTGGATAAGAATTGGAAAAGTAAGTTTTTAATTGTTTAGTTTTATTTTTATATTTAAACAATTTTTTTTTAAAAAAAAAAAAGAGAGAGTAACGAAGATAATGTAGTGTTTGAGGGCATATATGACAATCAACACCAATAAATTGTGTGGTAAGTGGATTGTGTTTCTTTTTGTAATTGAAAACATAAAAAGTGTCTTAGAATGTAAATTTTTATTTTTCATGTTAGCTCCATTCACAAACTACAAATACTTCTGAAGTATTTTTTAAGATGTTATTTCTGATTATTTTGTACCCTTTGGGACTATTAACTTTGGCTGGAGCACCACAAAAAAAAAAGTTAGGCCTGACAGAGACTACAACTATCATTAAAGCCATGATAGCTGTCACTCTCATTACTGGTTCTGATGATTCAACTGGTTAGAAGTCTTATTTGGAATATCCAAGAATCCTTTGTCATAGTGCAAACCTGTCTGCATCTTTTCATTAAATTATGCAGGAATGGCGCTTGTTATACCACCCAAATGACTCAAGATAAATTGATAGGACCACAAATAAAAGTCGTAGAGAAGAAAATGGTAAGCTAAGCTGCAACCGAAGTTCTGATAATATCCACTTATTCTACGTCCGACGTTTCAAATTTTGATTCACTTGAAATTAAATGGAAAAAAAAAACAGAATTAAATAATTTAAAAAAATATCAGTCCATTGCTGTGTTTTAGTGAAAAAGTCTTAGTCTTCGTTTCAAGGTGCTTCCTCTTGCTTTATTTTTTTTTCTCTGGTATTAATAAAAAAAGACTTAGTCTTTTATAAACTATTTTCTTTTAATCTATTTTTCAACAAAAAAATATTATATTACTTAAATTAGGGATGATTTAGATAGCTAGACTGGAATAAAAAACTAAAGAAACAAAGATCTTTATGAGAAGATCTCACAATAATTTCATTTTACGAGGGATGAAAGAAATCTTGAAAACCAGGAATCGTTATTAGATATGCTTTATCACATCCAATTAAGTTGCAAAATTTAGTCATGCAAGAAACTCCTTTATCATTGCCATCAGATCTTTACAGTATTTCCCGAAGTTTTAAACACGATATTTAAATATAAACTATCCTTAATATATTTTCGGTATAGTATGACTAAATACATGTTAAAATGTACTGTATGCAAACTATACAAAATATATTTTATATAGTATAACAAAATAAATTTTAAAAATGTATTGTATGCAAACGGTAGATATTAAAAAAAAATCATATTTTGAATGAGCTTTTATATTTGATATGTCAGATTATAAATTTCATATACCGAACTTGAACATATATTAATATGTAATAACATTTTAACAAATTGAACTGTATTAAAACAGATCATTATGTATTAGTAATGTAAAATAAAAACCTAAAACATAAAATTATATAGTTACATAATATCTACCACTAAAATATAAATAATATACTTTAGGTGTTTAAGAGATTATCAAATTTATACATTTATAAAATGAAAAAAAATATCCAGATGGAGATGTGGGTCGAATTTTATTATAATACTACGGAAATGTATGTGTATGCTAGTTAACAAAATATGTAGTTGGTGAGAATAGATGTGTAAATACAGGGTGGAGACTAACTTGTAGGAGCGTAAGAGGATTAATGTAATTACCATAGTGGCTTAACAGTATGTACACCATTTTTAAAAAATAACGATATTATCTATGGGATGCAAATTTTATAAATTATATTTAGCAATTTTATTCATAAGACAGAAAAAGAAAACTATATATCTGTTTTTCCCGAGTTAAATTTTGGATTCCATAAATTTTGTTAAGTCTAAAAGAATTGCTACGTTGCTTGTTACTATACTACAATTTTTTGGTCAATTCCGTACTACTTTACTAAAAACAAATTGAAAATTCAGTCATCTTACTTAGGCCTGCTCATTTTATGAAGGTCCAAATTACCGAACTGAAACTGATTTGAAAATATCCGGCTTAAAACTGAATCAAACATTTACAAGTAACTAACTTGGTCCAAATTTTTTATACCTAAAATAATCAAAATAAAAAGAACAGATTCGAATAGACTCAAATCTAAAAAGAATCAACTTAGATAGATCCGGCTCATGAAAAACTATTTCATACCCGATTTAAAAACATGAATAATCAAAACTATGATTTTATTTGTTTTATTTTATATATTTCAGTTTATAATTTAGCTGAAATGTCTTTTGATTAATAATCTTTATTATTATTCTTATAACATTTCAAATAATATGAAACTTTAAATATTAAATATATAGTTTACAATTAGTTTCAGTTATTAATAGTTTATTTTGGTTATTTTACAAAAACAAAATAGATATGACAATTTTTCACAGAATATTGATGCAATTTAGGTATTTAAAGTTTTTCGGATTTTAAATACATATAACCTGACCCAAATCACTATGGACCCAAATATTATAGGTATTTTAATTATATATCCCACTCAGTTCGAAGAAAAATTGATCCGAACTAAAAAAATTAATTATTTAGTTGGGTCCAAATGGCTAGGTCAGAAAGACTCACACTTGAAAAAAAAAACAATCCAAACCCGACGGAAGATCCAAAGGCCAAAGTCTACTTCTTAGTCAACTTATATGCTAAATATGTATCCATTTCTCACGTCATCTGAAAGGTGTAGACGAAAAAAAAGTCCAAAACCTCATTTACTAAAATTAGACTTATGTGAGTTAGTTAAAGGTTCTTCTGTAACGCTTCAATCAGTCACCGTTTCAATCAACTTGTAAGGTTAGCATCCGCATTGAAAATTCGTGGGGGGGGGGGGAGGGGGGGGAGGTTCACACGCGGATCCAAACAAAATAAAAAAAAATATGCTGATTTTGGTGAATCCAAGTCTTGGAGGTTCGTCGGGTTGTTCACACGAAGTTCGCCACGTGGCATTCCGCGATTAATTCGTTATTAATTTTTTAATCTTTTTTTTAGAAAAAGCAAACCAAAAAAAATAAATTAATTTTGTTGTCTATGAACCCCACCCATCAGATTCACTGATGGGGATGCTCTTAGGCTTATTGTCCTATTTTGTGCGACCATCAATGTATTAATTTGAAAAGATCAAAAGATTTGTTTATAATTATTAGTATGTAATTTTTCTTATGGAGGGTGATTGGTTGGGTTGTAACTAATGACTTTAGATTTAATTTCTATCTACAACCATTTAAATCACCAATCATGCTTTAAGTAGATTTTAAAGCTAAAGTCAAAAAATTGAAAAAGTGGTTGTAGGAACCTTATTTTCTAAAGCAAAAAATTATTGCTGTAGGATTGTTGTAGGAATATCTTCCTTTTTTATTTTTTTTTTCATTTAATTTCTACAGCTACATTAGATACAACTACATCAAAAACATCTACAGTCTAAATTCTACAGTAAAATTTTTAAATCTACAGTTCAACCAATCACCCCCATGGTTTTCTTAAAAATTCTAGCTCCGCCACAAACGTTTCACTTATCTCCAAACAAATAATTGGAAAAATAAATCGACTTTAATGATATAAATAGTTAAATCAAATTTAAACTTTTTTCATATACACCATCATATATTAGACGCAAGATATTATATCTTAAACTAGGGCCAGACCCGCCCTACGGGCGGGTAAGCAACTGAACGAAATAATAAAAATATATTTTAAATTTTAATAAAATTTTGTTTATTTAGTTACATTTTTCACTATTTTTACTATAAAGTCTACCATTTTTAATAGAATATATATATTTTCTACTATACCAAAAAATTTCATGAAAATATAATTTTTTTTACTTTGTTTACAATATTTTATTTTCTTGATTTTAATAGATGATAAATTCTCTATGATATACTTAAAAAAAAGTTTTGTTAGAAATATAGAGTTAAAAAATAAAAATGACCAAAAGAGATTTAAATGTTTTATCAAAAGAAGTAAATATACACTTATATTCTTAGAGTTAATTAATCTAGACATTAGAGTTTAGAATTAAGAGGTGAGGTTTAGGATTTAGGGTTTAGGGTTTATGGTTCAGAGTTGAGAAATAGGGTTTTGGGGACATGATTTAAAATTTAAAAAAAAAAGTAAAAATTTTAAAATTTTCAAAAAAAAATGTTATTTTGGTCATATAATTTTTTAGGTTTATTTTTGTGACAAAATCTTAAAAAGTCTATTTGAGAAAATTGCCTTAAATAGATTTGTAATACATTTCTTCATAAATTTATAATTTAAACAATTCAAAAAACAGAAAGCCAATTTATTATTTTTTAAGAAAAAAGTAAGTAGCATAAAAATATGGTGTTAATTATTATTATTTAATATTTATAAATAACATGTGAAGTTATATATTTTATGTATTATTATATTTAAGGAAATATATTAAGTTTGTTGTTTTTTATGTTTTCCCTTTTTAAGGTTATAGAATAATAACATATTCCTAATCAGATGTAACAAATTAGTTTCTTCCTAATTGTTACATTTGATTAAGCTCGCCATTATCTTTTCAAAGTGCTTTCTTTTTATAAAACAAAATCTATAATGCAGCCGAAGAAAAAAGGATTAACAAAAATATAGTCATTTACATAAGTGGTATAATACTTTTTTTTTTAAGTGGTATAATACTCCCTTACAACCGAGAAAAAATATATAAAGTATTCTATTTGACAGAACATATTTTCTAGACGTGGCTTCTTCACCACATTGGAGCTGGAGCTCGGCATTTCTCTGGCGTACCAACCGGTAGTAGTTGTGTCTGCAGTTATGATTGCATCACCAATGCTACCTACAGCATCAGCTTAGTCGACACTGGATTATCATCTATACCGTCGTCCCCATCATCATCGCAACCTCCCTGATCTAGAAAATTGTTATGTATATTATATAGAGTTTAAGAATAAAAATAATGCCAACCACTTTACGTACATTGTCAACGAAGTCAGTGAGTGGGACTTGGTCACGCTCATTGATCATTGAGAATGCGGCTGATGGTGAATGTCTGATGGTTGGTGGCGAAGTTAAACGCACTAACCCTTACCTGGAAAGTGGAAGTCTTGCTTTCCATATCTGCAATAAACGGAGGAAGCTGAATGTCTTCAGGGTTAACACCATCTACAGCCTACGTAGTCATAGATAAAGTGATAAATATGTTAGGATTAGGTAGATGGTATAAAGTCAGTAGGAGACAACTTTGTTTCTTACAGCATCTGGCCAGCTTTGCTTGCTTTGAGGTTATGTAACTTACTCATCACACCATCAAAACACACAAACACACCTTCAGCAGTATCACAAAACCTATACGCAAACGGATATAGCAAAGAAGATATGCAAATTTAAAACAGTTACTTATCAAGTTTGATTGTAGCCATACATGATTATTTTACTCTTGAGGATCACTCACGGTACTCTTCACCGCATCACCGCAGTGGGCTCTCCTATAATGTATGTTAGGTTTAAGAGATTATTAACGTATGTATTCTGCAGCATATACTATTAAGTATTAGAAATATACGCACCTGGAAGTTGCGTGTAGTCCAATTAGCTCGATTTGATTACGAAACCCAAAGCTACAGGCAGGGGTGAAACCGGTATGGTTCTCATCAAATTTTGTTGCATCATTTATCCGAATCAGTAAGGGAAGATCTGTGACTGTAAGCATGAAGTTCTGAGCACAGCGACAGAGGTCAAAGCCGGACATGGAAAACACCAAGCCGACAGAGAGTATATATAAGGACGGAGAAATAGCAAAGCGGTGGCCGAAAATTTTATATATTACGGTCACTGAGATTGAAGATATCAGTTCACTTACATTAACGTCGACCAGAAGCATGGGAAAGCCACATGATTTCACCGCCGCGCCTGATACTTCCTCACCTCCAGAAACAGAGCAGGCAGAATTCACAGATGAGGAGCACCTGCCAAACTTCAGATCGGATAAAAACACTCACGTTAACCATGCTTGATATTTATATAAGAGAGTAAGTATGGTAGGAGAGATATGAGGATGTTTCTGAGAGGAAGAGAGCGTACCTATATATATATATATACATGCGATTTTACCGACTCTAAGAAGATGACGACATATCGATCTCGAGATTGTTGGTGAGGAGTTAATGAATGATAAATGTCTGGAGAGAAGTAATGAGAAACGTACGCCATGGAAATCCAAAGAGTTCTACCTCGGATGGTCTGAGAAGGCGGCGGTGAAGAAAGTATAGAATGAACACTAATTGTTAATGAGAGGGTTTATGGAAAATTGGCTTACTGCGACAGGGCCGCTTATGGTGAATATGACTAAAGGCCCATAACTAAACGAACATGTTTTTAAAGTGAGGAAGAAACGCAGCGTATCAGAAATTGGGACAGATGTCACGCACACATCAGAGGAATTAGTGACGTGGCGCCTCCTTGAGTGAAAAAACTGTACTTTATAATAATAGATTATTACAACATAATCAGAATTAGTCAGTTCATATTGGACTTTTCAAAATTATGCCTCACATAAACGTTAGAGCTACCTAACTGAACCTATTAAGAATACGTCCTAATTAAACATGCAACATATGTGAGTCAGTCGAAGATTCTTTTATTGTTACAAACTAATCAGAATATGTGTCAGTCGAAGATTCTTTTATTGTTACAAACTAATCAGAATTAGAAAAAAAAACTAATCAGAATTAGTGTTAGTTCAACGTATCGAGAATCCCTTCTAGTATCGGTGAAGTCAAAATAGAAAGCCTTCCTATATAACTAACTGAATTTACTGATTGTGTATTTTAATTGATTTACTAACTTTGGTGGGCATTAATTTCTTCGGAAGTAACCCAATACATATTTGCTCAATTTTTGGAAGTAACCCAATACTTTTCTCATCTCACAAATATAAATAGTAGTATCAAACATAAAGAAGTAGTACAAAGTAAAAAAATAAACATCTATCCAAAAAATGGGGAAATGCTTTGCTTTGATGACTTTCCTGGTTTCTTTTCTTCTTCTTATCCTTCAAAACCTTGAACTCGTTCATGCCGACGGATGTGCCGGAACCTTATTCAACCGTAACAGAACCTACGCTCAGAACCGTAACAATCTCTTCTCTACTCTTGCTTCAAAAGTCGTTGCCAACGGTGGACTCTACAACGATTCACTCGGCCAAAATCCAAACAGAGTTCAAGCTCTTGTCTTCTGTACAAGAGGCGTTGAGCAAGCTTGTATTAGTTGTGTTCAAAAAGTGATTCAGAATATACAAACGAATTGTCCAGATCGCATGGATTCGTTCCTGTGGGACAAAGACGATGTAGACGACCATGTTTCTTGTCTTGTACGTTACTCAAACCAAGCAGCTTTCCGGAACTTCGAGCTTCGACCTGTTGTCATTCACCCAAATCCAAAAAGTATCGAACAATCCAAGAACATGACCCTTTTCACTAAACAGTGGGAAGCAACGGTTAATCGGACTATCAAGCTTGCCACGGAATCTAATACTTCCTCGCTATACTTTGGTGCTGTTAAAGCCGAGTTCACGGAGTTTCCAAATGTATACATGTTGATGCAATGCACGCCCGACATAACTTCCCCAGAGTGCAAGATATGTTTGGAAAGCTGCGTGGCAAACTTTAAAGCACAGTATTGGGGAAGCGAAGGAGGTGAGGTTAGTCGTCCGAGTTGCGTTTTCAGGTGGGATCTATATTCTTTCCGTAGTGCTTTTGATAATATAACAATATTTCATGCACCTCCTCGAGTTAAGGCACAGGCACCTGCAAATGACAAGAAAGGTAAAAACAAATGAGTTAAGAGTATTGTTTCATACGTAAAATGATAAGAGGGATTACAGAAAAAAATTCTTAATAATTTTCAGGAAGAAGCATTATGTATGGTGGAATTATCGCGATAATTGTGCCTTGTTTCATTAATCTTTTGGTGTTTATTGGCCTCATCAAATTTTATGGTCCGAGGAGAAAATCTAAGAACGGAATCAGTGGTAAGTTTATATACCATCTTTTTTTTTTTGGGATCAAATGAATATACCATGTTTCTTGCATCAAATTTAGAGAGTAAGACTTATTTCGTTTTTTAGTTGGTAGTGCGGAGTACTCTGATGCGGACGGTCAATTTATGTTACGGTTTGATCTTGAAATTATCATAATGGCAACCAATGACTTTTCATCTGAAAATAAGCTTGGCCAAGGTGGATTTGGTACCGTCCATAAGGTATTTATAATTTCCAAATAATTTATTATTATGATCTTGGTCTTGGACGAGTAACCAATCTTTAAAATCGGTTTCAGGGTATATTACTAAACGGGAGAGAGATAGCGGTGAAACGATTAATAAGAGGTTTAGAAGGAGAAATGGAGTTTAAGAATGAGGTTTCACTCTTGACAAGACTCCAACATAAGAACCTCGTTAAGCTTCTTGGTTTCTGTAATGAAAGAGATGAAGAGATTCTTGTCTATGAGTTTGTCCCTAACTCAAGTCTTGACCACTTCATCTTCGGTTGGGACTTCGAATACGTCTGAATTCTTTATAGCTTTTTACAAACTCTAAAGTTAGCAATATATATGCTTTTCACTGAAATCTGCAGATGAAGAGAAGCGTTCGCTTCTCACATGGGAGGTGAGATTCAAAATTATAGAAGGTGTTGCTCGAGGTCTTGTTTATCTCCATGAAGACTCTCAGCTAAAGATTATTCACCGAGATTTGAAGGCTAGCAACATCCTTTTAGATGCAGAGATGAACCCTAAAGTTGCAGACTTTGGTACAGCAAGGCTGTTCGACCCTGATGAGACAAGAGCTGAAACAAAGCGAATAGCTGGAACCCGGTAAGAACATTTCAATCAACTTTGAAGATATATAAATATGATCACCATCAATTTACGTTATTAGTTGTATATATGCAGTGGATACATGGCTCCGGAATACATGAATTGCGGGGAAATCTCAGCTAAATCTGATGTATATAGCTTCGGTGTTGTGCTTCTAGAGATTATAAGTGGTAAAAGAAACAATAGCTTTGAAGGAGAAGGAATTGCATCTTTTGTAAGTTTCTTTACAAATCAGTCTTCTTGGTTATATTCCTTTTATATCTTCAAACTTATACAGTAAGTAAGAAAATGTAATTAGAAACTTTATAAATTAATACTCAACAAAGTAATAATTACAGTAAATTAATAAATTTATGTGGTGGTAATACGGGTTAGTTTAAAATATAACACCAATTGATAAAATTATAAGATAAAAAATACTAAAAGAATATACATAAATAAATAAAACCATTAGTATCAGAAATTATAAATTTTCATATAAAACTTAATATAAATTTATATAAACATAAGTAAGATGTTTAACTATTTTTCTATAAAAATGATGTTATCTCTATTTTTGTTATCTCTATAATATTATTTGAGAATCTACCTCAGGTATCGCACTCATGTTAGTTTTCAAAAAATGAATTATAAGAATACCTTTAATGAATTGAAAACTATAGCCAATGATCATCACAAAAAATTTTATTTTCTTTTTATTAATAAAAGATATTTTTAATTATATTTTTAAAAATACCACATAATAAAAAGGAAAGATTTTTAATCTATATATAAATATTGTATAAATATAAATGAATATTATTTTTCTTACTTTATATTTCCTTAAACAACATAAAAATAAAATAAATATCTATAAATTTTAGTGTTTATCTATATAAATCATAATTTACAAAAACTTTGACAAAATAATTAATTTAATATTAAAAACATATTTTCTTATGGTTATATTCTTCATCAAGTGATTAAAAATAAAATAATTTTAAACAACATAAATTGATCCTCTAATATCATGTATCTAAAATCCAGTGCTAAATAAAGAAAAAAAAACAAAATTATTGATGTAACTCAACATACTCAAAAAGGGAACACCTAAACTGATTCAAAATATTATAGTTGAAATCAAACTTCTTAATTACTCAAAAAGGGAACACCTAAGCTAATTCAAAATATTATAGTTGAAATCAAATATCTTAATAAGATGAGAAACATAATATATACAATCTTTTAAATTTTTGGGTATAATTACCTTATGAAATCATAAAAAAAAGTTAATGAATTTTGAAATATTTCTTATTTGATTTTCTTACTCTCGAAAATTCAAAATTTTATAGTTTTATCTAAATAACATATATCAAAATTTAAAATAGTACAATTATTTATTAATGCAATTCTTCTTTTCTTCCTCAAGAAAACATATATCAAATCTTCAAAACTAGTAGAAATATATTTGCAAATCTAAGATAATGAACCAAACTAAAAAAAAAAATATTAACTCAATTTCATAATTTTTGATTATTTTGAAGAAAACAAATATGTGGAGCTCAACATACCATGCATGAACCAATCCAAATTATTATAAATAAAATCTCATATCTAATTAAGATGAGAACATGATGATATATAATACAAAATTATCTATCGTAATATAAATTAAAATTACTGAAAATTATAAATAAACCTATAAATATTTATATCCCTAAATGAGAACATATTGATAACATATTTTATTTATCTATCATAGGCATAAAGTATAAAATTACTTTAAATTCTAAAAAAATGAAGTAAAATATTCAAAATTATCATGATTTAAGTATTTATTCATGTACATCAGCATGGGAGAATAGCCCAGTTATTATAAAACATGTTAGTGTTATTTGTAGATTTGAGATAAGAACTCATATATTTTACATACATATCTCCAATACATTAACTAGTTTAAGAACAAAGAGACAAGCCAAGTTGATAAATTTTAAATAATGAGTATAATATGTGAATATATATATATACTTTCTTTTTTTAAAATAAACAACAGTATATATATAAACTTTTTGAACTATTTACTCTATAAACTAATAAAAATTTTGGAGAATTTCAAGTTTACCATATTTGTTGTATACAAATTCATGTTTACCTTTATTAAACGGATATTTTCACAAATATATTCTCCATTTTAGAAGCAAAAGACAATTCTACCATTGATTTATAGATGTATAAATATAAATAATTATTTAAACAAATCAAATAATAAAATTTTAATAGTTTTTGAAATAGACGTTTTAAAATTTTAACTTTTTATTAAAAAAGTTGAATTGTTTTTTCAAATTTCTTTTTGAAACTATTTTTAAAAATATTATATTTAAGTTTAATTACTTATTTACATATTTATTAAAATTCTAAACTCCACCCTCCGAAACTTCATCTATTTAATCTAAACCCTAAATTAAGATTAGTTAATCCTAAGGTTATAAGTATCTATTTACCTCTTTAAAATTAAAGGTAAATTTTGTTAAGGTAAACATGAAATTGGTATTATCAATGTGGTGGTTTAAGCAATTTTTCTAAAATATTACTGTTTTAGTATTATTAATTTATATTTTTTACTATATATATTACTTACATATAGTTATATTGGTTTCAGACATGGAAGAGATGGGCTGAAGGAAGGCCAGAGATCATAATTGATCCTTTCTTGGCTGATAATTCGAGTAGTGAGATCGTTAAGTTGATCCAAATTGGTTTGTTGTGTGTTCAAGAGAATGCAACAAAAAGACCAACCATGAGTTCTGTAATGGTCTGGCTTGGAAGTGAGAATATCACCATTGCTTTACCTAGGGCTCCTGCTTTTACAATGATTAAATCACAATCTGAAGATTGTACAATGTCAATGAGCAACGTCTTCACGGAGATGAGTTCTCGTTGAGTTATAAACAATGAATAAAAAATGTTGTTTTAAGATTGACTAGTGCTTAGTTCGCATTTTTGCGCAGATATTGGTTTTAGGTTTTTATAAATTAATGTTATATTTAGTTTTCATAATTAACATTATGAAAACATTTAATTTTACATATTTCAAGATAAAAATACAATAATATATACACCTAATCATTTTTCAACCAATAGAAATATATAATATTATATGAAACTAATAAATTTTGCCTTGAAACTCCAAAACGACACTTAATTTGTGACAAAAATTAAGTTTAGAATGAAAAATATTCTGAAACGGAAGAGTATATTTTAAATTTATTACTATAACTAATTGTATTTAAAAGATCTAGACCGAATTGAGTAATATAGTTAATCTTGGTACAAATCTCTAAATTATTGGTTATTTAGATATTTTTAGATTCATATACATCAGAACTGAATTCATGCGAATTTGGGAAGATCTAACTTGAAACACACCCAAAAATTTATAATATTCGAGTGGGTTTAATTTCAAACTAAAAAAACCAATACCCAAAAAAAAAAAAACGTATCTGAATGGTACTCGAATGCTCTTCCGTAACTAATTCTGTAAAAAATTATTAAAAAAAACTCTTTGTTAACTGTTTTGAAATCTTGTTATGAATGAAAAATAATATTTAGACCTTTGAAATTACTATAGTTAACATGTAGAAATAATTAATGAAATAGTTAGGAAGAGCAAAAAAATAAGAATGCAATAAAAAAATTTAAAATATATAATTTTTTTTTCATTTTGTAATAGATACTGTTTAATTATTTGGATATATAAGATAATAAATGAAGTGTTTCATATGTGTTGAAAAAAGAGAAAGTTTTAAAACAAACACTTTAATTTAGAAAAATATTGTTTTATACTTCTGTTTTAATAGAATGTGTATATTATATACTCTCTTCGTTTCATATTAAGTGTCGTTGTAAAGAAAATTTTTCGTTATAAAATAAGTGTCTTGGTTTTCAATGCAAAAAAATATTTATTTTATTCTGTAATTTATTTTTCTATTGGTTGAAATATGGTTAGCTGTATGGATAATTATGTGTTTATATAGAAAATATACAAAATTAAATTTTTCCTTAATCCGTGTGCAAAAACCTAAAATGATACTTATAATAAAACAAATGGAGTATGTCACTTAAAACGGATACTTCCTGTATTTTGTGTTCACAAATTTATGAGATGTATTGATTGAAATACAAATATTCAACATTTCATACCACTATTTTTCCCAAGAAAGGGAAGCTTTAGATTACTACGAAAGTCTACGGAAACGATCGTTGAGCTGGAGTTGGTTACATTGTAAGACACATTTGTCTTTTTCTTACATAATAAGACACATTGCACATGTTAGACACTTTTCTTCTAGTTTCCTTTGTCTTGAGACATAACAAAGACAGTACTAACCTTATCATTGTGAACGAACACATGTGCTTCCCAGACTAAAACTGGTTCGATTTATTATTCTGGTTCATTTGTTTCGTTGTCCACATTAAGTTTATAGGTTTATTGATTGTTATGTCTTCTTTTTAGTCGTCAGATCTGGATTTACATTTTTAATTCAAAGGACAAAATTAGAAAACTTGAGGATTACCTCAGTATGATAATGAGGTGAATTTATTGTTTAGATGTTGAGCTTTAAATCAAAGGCCAAAACTGAAACTTCAGAAGTAGGTCATTCTGATAAGAACGTGAATTTATTGAATGATATAAAATTATAAACACTCTGTTCTACTTATATAAAAATAAAGTATGAAAAAGAGCTAAAAGTATCATGGTGGTTTTATTGTCATGACATTTAAACTTTCACAGCTTCCTCTAGTGAAGATTCACCATCCACAATATGTTCTCTTATATTGAATCATCCTTACAGTCGTCTCATCCATGACATTAACAGAGGCATCTCCACTGTTATATCTCCCATAAACAAATCCCTTATCCACAACTTCTCCTTTCATATCTCATCCATCACAACTCCTTTTTTCACACCTTGTCCAACCACTACTCCACTATGCACAGCAACGAAATCATCAAACAACCATCTTCCAGGCCCTCATCCACCCCCAATCAGCTCCACTGCCGACATCATCAGACAACCATCCTCCAAATCCCTTGTCCACAATTCCTCTTTTCATATCTCATCCATCCACAACTCTTTTTTTTACACCTTGTCCATCCACAACTTCCCTGTCCACAACCACAACATCATCAAACAACCATCTTCCAAACCCTCATCCACTCCCAATCAGCTCAACTGCCATCTTTAGCTTCAACGACAAAAACCATAGCCAGAAACCATAGAAATTGTACACATCCACCATAGTCACGGGCCAAAAAAAACTTCAAATTCAAGAGGGGAATAAGACCATAGGAACCGTCATCCCCTTAGCCCCAACGCCGTCACCGGAATCCCTCTCAACAGTGCGTCTCCATCGTTCTCTAACTGATCTCGCCGTTAGATCCAAACAACAAAAGTGGGATATCAAGCAAAAAGGTTAAAAAAAAATCGGATCTCACGAAATCAAAACTAGATACAGACCCAATCGAAATAAAAACGTCACATACACAATCGAAGTGGAAACTATAAACAGACCCAAAAAAGTAGAAACCCCCGAAAACAACAAAAAAATTGAAACATAAATTTTTTTTAGAGATTTTGAGAATCGCCGCAAGAAGAGCTTTACGAGAAAGAAGATCTGAGTTTCTGATTTTCCATTAAGATTGGGAACTGATTAAAAAATGAATTTAGTACAGAAATAACTAAATCGGTCTAAATAGAAACGTATAATGGTTGGTTTTTATCACATTTTCTATGGAAAAGGGCATATATGACTTTCATTTGCATGAAAGTATGTCATATGTTAAAAGTGTCTTAGAATGAAAATTTAAAGTGAAAAAATGTCTCAGGGAGTAAATTTTTTTTTTTTTTTTTTTTTTGTTAAAGACGATCGTTGAGCTATAAATTTGTTAATCAATACTTTGTTGAGCCAATTCTGGATCAACTTAACGATCGGTTCATGTATGTGATTTAGAAACTAAAAGGCAAACTTGGATCAAATATTAATAAAATTTAGAAACTAAATGGCAAAAACTAAAATAAATATATAAAATTTAGATAGAAGGCCTAGCTAAGCCAAATTTTGTACTTCTCGCAACGTGCGAAACTCTTTCTAGTTCAAACAACAAAAAAAACAAACAAATAATCAGTCCATTTCTGTAAATTACTGAAAATGTCTTGGTCTTTATTTTTTGGGAAATTTGCCAAAAAGGGACAAAAAATTAACATATTGTCCCCTTAGAATTATACTTGAGATTTTTGTCCACTTAGTATAAACAATAATGATAATCCCGTTTTATCCTTCGTATTAGACCCAAAATGTGTATCAAATATATTATTATTATTTAGTTCTCTTGTTTTATTTCGTATTCTGTTTCCTCTACTAAAGCTTCTCACATGACTTCACATCTTGTGGCGTGAATACGAGCTTCGTTGGATTGACGGTGATGAAGAGAAGAAGAAACATACAAGCAAATCGATCTGATAGGGAGGGAGGCCGGTGGTTCTTAGTCCGACATGACGCTAAGGACCTTCGCAAGTTCCGTCGCCATCAACACGCCCTTGAGGTCTCTCTCTCTCTCTCTCTCTCTCTTAATCCAAAGCTTTGACCTTTTAGGGTTTAATTGGCTCTGTATTCATATTTGAGTTAATTAAGAGAAGAAAGATTACATTTTTATTCTTATTTTGAATGATCAATTTCAGACCTTTAATTGGATGGAGATGAGGAAGATGACATTATATTTTCAAAATCTTTTAGCTTTTAGGGTTTAATGTTGCTAATATTAGTTCTAGAATGTCATTTTAGAAGAAAGATTACATTTTTATTCACATTTTGAATGGTAAATTTCAGATCTTTGAGTGGATGGACAAAGAATCATCAGTCTACTTATGGAGCTCTTATGAACTGTTATTGTGTGGAACTCAAGGAAGAGAAGGCAAAGTCTCATTTCGAGAAGATGGATGAGCTTAACTTTTTAACAACTTGTTGCCGTTTAACAACATGATGTCAATGTAACAGAGGGGTTTACTTCCTTGTGGGATCACTTACTCTATATGGATGCAGAGCTGTGGAAGTTTGAATGATTTAGAAGGGTTAGAGAAGGTTATAGATGAGATGGGGAAAGACTGTGAAGTTAAAACCACTTGGAATACATTCTCTAGCTTGGCTGGGATCTATACTAAAGCTGGTCTTTACGAGAAGGCGGAGTCAGCTCTGAGAACCATGGAGGAGAAGATGAATCCTAACAACCGAGACGCACATCATTTTCTCATTAGCTTGTACGCTGGAATCTCAAAGGCTTCTGAGGTTGAACGAGTTTGGGAGTCGCTGAAGAAGGCTCGTCCTGAGGTTAACAACATGAGCTACCTTTTCATGTTTAACTACAGAGAGAATATGATAACCTCTCTTTATGTGATTGGTTTCTCTTGTTTACATTACAAGTATGGACATTTTTTTTTGCTTTGCTCTTGTTGTTGAGACATGTTTGATTGTTATCTTGTTGTTCAGAAACCGTGTGACCATTCTGTCAATATAAATTGCGTCAATATAAGAACCATAAAACCACTCGTATGAGTTCACCACGACAATTCCACAAAGATGCTAATTGCTTCCTTTGAGTACTTTGCGTACTAAATTCTACAAAGATGTTAATTTCAAGGATTAGTGTTATAAACAACAAAAAAGGACGAAAAATAGGAAAACATGTGCAGTGCAATTACTCGAACTCGGGTTACTAATAAAGGTTTTAGACATATAAACCACTGAACCAAGTTATCATATTGTCATATAATAAAAAAGGTAGTATATAATAGGTTATATATACCAAATATGAAACTTAAACACGTTCATAGCAAAAAATATTAAAAAAGGAAACAAAAATATTTAGAGAATATTTACT